AAAAAAAAAAAAAAAAAAAAAAAAAAAAAAAAAAAAAAAAAAAAAAAAAAAAAAAAAAAAAAAAAAACCTGCTGGGGTTGGTGACGACCGACGTCTGCCGGTAAAACCTAAACACACAAATTTTAAAAAACCTCACCAACCCCCAACCAATTCCAATCACCCATTATTTTCTCCACCCTATTTTTTTTATTTTCTTTACCATTATAATTCAAATTAAAATAAAAGAATAAATAATATTTTATATTAAACTATAATATATTTAATTAATACAATAAATCGAGTGCTGATAAGATCAAATAGAAATTCAATTAACGATGTGAAGTTCGTAGTGCAAAAAAATAATATAATAACTAGAGATAATATAAAGACCCCATCAATTTAAACTTCAAATTTGAATAAATGTGTCTAATTTTTCAACAATTTTATTTTTTAAATAAATAAATAATTGTTAATAGACCAATACGTGTCATTTGGACATGTGGGCGCGATTTAAATTTAGTTTATGATTAAAATTAATTTTTATTTTTTATTTGTTCCTTTGAATAAAAAATTAAATTTAAACTAAGAATAGAAATAAATTGAATTAAATATGTGGATGAAAAATAATATTTTAATTAAAGAAAAACTAAAATTTAATTATTCGAAAAAATTGTAATATTGGTTGAAGCAACTAACCGAATGCCATGCTTGAAGTAGAAGATTCTAACACCAATGTCCAAATGGGGAGAATTCATACCGGCTGTATCGGTAACCGGTTGTCAGCTCGAACTTTTTCTATAAATATGAGCAGCAAGAGGTTGGTATCTTCGTGTCATCGAGCGCCGATTCTTTATTTGGCTCTCTCTGCTCTGAAAGTTCGACTTCTCTTTTAGTTCACTTCATAAATTCCTTCAGATCTGTAGCCAATTTTCCTCTTCCAGGTTCATTTCTCTCTCTCTTTCTTGCCTTTAATGGCTTCCTCTGTGTTTTATGGATGTTTCTGATTTTCATGTCATTGGGGTTTGTGTGTCTGCGTGCTCCTTCTGCCATGGTGTCTGAAATTTTGTTCACTTTGGGCTTTATTGTGGGGATTTTCTTTTGGTTTCTTTATAGGAGTTGAGGATTAGCTTGTTGGGTTGGTCTTGAAGTGGTTTTTGTTCTTCGTCTGGAATGTCTGGTTGTTGTTAGTGTGGCGTTGATCTGTTGTTTTTCTATTCGAATTTGTTCGTTGTTTAGTCATTTCTCACTCGATGACTTGAGATTACTGAAGGAATTTTCTATTGTAATCCTTTTTTATATTGGTTTCACTATGGAGATGTGGCCTTGTGATTTTGGGGTTTTTTTGTTTAGTGAACTCTAGAGCTGTGGATTTCTTTCTCTTCTTACGAATTTGGACTGATAATCGCTTAATTTTTGTCTTATTTTTGGTGTAAACGTTTTTTCTAAGTAGAAGACGCTGATTCGTATTCGAAGTGAAATGTTCACTTCTCAACTGAAAATTTCTAGAATCAATTCTGAGTTATGCTTATATGCCTATGACTATTCTCTATTGCTGGGCGCATAAGCTTTCTATATTTGAATACTGAAGAAGATTTGTGGATTTTTGTATGTTTTCGTATTTTGCCTTGTAGGTTGAGAGAATGGAGAACTTTCTATTTACTTCTGAGTCTGTGAACGAGGGTCACCCAGACAAACTCTGTGACCAGATCTCAGATGCAGTTCTTGATGCTTGTCTTGCCCAAGATCCTGATAGCAAGGTTGCTTGTGAGACCTGCACCAAGACGAACATGGTTATGGTTTTTGGAGAGATTACCACCAAGGCAGTTGTGGACTATGAGAAGATCGTTCGTGACACATGCCGTTCCATTGGATTCATCTCGGATGATGTGGGTCTCGATGCCGACAACTGCAAGGTCTTAGTCAACATCGAGCAGCAGAGCCCTGATATTGCCCAAGGTGTCCATGGCCATTTCACTAAACGACCTGAGGAAATTGGTGCTGGTGACCAGGGTCACATGTTTGGCTATGCCACAGATGAGACCCCAGAACTCATGCCTCTTAGTCACGTTCTTGCAACTAAGCTTGGCGCTCGCCTCACTGAGGTGAGGAAGAATGGTACCTGCCCATGGTTGAGACCTGATGGTAAGACCCAAGTTACTGTTGAGTACTACAATGATAATGGTGCCATGGTCCCTGTTCGAGTCCACACGGTTCTCATCTCCACCCAGCACGATGAAACTGTCACCAACGATGAGATTGCAGCTGACCTTAAGGAACATGTCATCATGCCTGTGATCCCCGAGAAGTAC